GATGGTTCTGGAGAAACACGTTTATAACCAGCCCTGCTCTGGAGCACACAAAGGCCATCTTGCTTTGTAACCATGGCCCTGGCTCTTTTCCACGGTCACTGCCTAGTTATGTGACAGTCTTTGTGAATTTCAAGGCATATTAGCTATAACACTGCTTTTTAATGATCCTAGCATTACTGTGAAGATTTCTCAGACCCCTCGCTAAAATTAACAGCACAGCCCTATACTGTTTGGCTTTTGAGAGGGAGAAAAAGTTTTCCTTGACCCTGGTAGGGTCCCTGGCCAGCTCTGTAGATGAACCTGACAAAGACAGATGAGTGGGAGGAAAGCCAACACCTGCTAATGAACTTTTGCAGGTACTTGACATCCTTCACCCGGGGAAGTGATCAGAGCCTGAAGCCTTTGTAACCTTTTACACAAACAGTATTTGTGAAGATTTGACAGGAACAAAGGAGTTTGGGTCGGGGGCAGTAAATGGTAGAGAGACTTGGGAGAAGTTGAATGAGGATTGTTGCCATATTCCTCTGGTGCAGTCTGTGGGCTGATAGAGTATGTCTCCAGTAAAAGGAGAACATATTTCTTGCCTTTAGACCAAAAAGGGGGAACTTTTTCCTACAACTACTGCTTAATTGCTCTCAGCTCAGAATATATTTTATGGCAAGGAGGCATGTTTTGGGGTGACATATTCTGGTTTCCTTCAGCCTTCTTCGTATTTTATTATACCTAACTTCTAGAGGAATAGGTTTTTGGAGCCCATGTGTCAGCATTAGCACAAGTGCTGTCTTTTAACAAACGTGTATATATTGTTATAAGATAAGAAAACATTTTAAATTATAATTAGCAGTGAATTTTAAAACAACGGGATAACATCTGTGGAAACTACATGGAGAAGTTCAAGTGCATGGAAAGAACAGCGCAGTCTACCCGGTACTAACAATAGAGCATGATACGCTGACCAGGTCCCGTTGCTGTATGGGTGTGTGCGCCACAGTGGAATCAGAACTTGCAGTGTACTTGATCCAGCGACTTTGAAATTGTTTCTTGACAATGATTTTTTAATGTGAGGAGATTCGCATTACTTAAAATTTTGCAAATAACCTGAATTTTGTTGAGGCTGTGACATCAAAATATTTCATATTTGCGTATTTAAAATTCACATGCAGTGATAGCCATACAATGTGATAAGCGAGGAAGATCAGAGACTGAGCAAACCCAAGTTCAACGCAAAGGCAGGTTGCTGTAAATTAATGTCAAAATTTATGGGGTGCCTGGGTGGCTCAGTCGGTTCAGTGTAAAACTCTTGATTTCAGCTCAGGTTGTGATCTCACAGTTCATGAAATCAAGAAATCGAGACCCACGTCAGGCTCCGTGCTGACAGCATGGAACCTGCTTGGGGTTCTCTGTCTCTCTGTGTCTCCTCTCTGCCTCTCTCTCTCTCTCAAAATAAATAAATAAACCTTAAAATACTAAAAATTAATTAATGTCAAAGTTTAAATTGAGAAGAGTAGAGATTTTTTGATGATCTCTGTCCTCTCCCTTAATCTTGAATAGCCAGTCTCTTTCTACATGGACATCCCCCAGTGAACCTCTCTCCCAGAGCCACCATTAATTAATTTTACTTGTGGATCTGTCATGATGGTTCTCCTCCCTTTCCCCAGTCACCTGACTGCTCCCCTTCTAACTCCATTCTGATGCCTGGCAGGCTGTCATTGGCGAACTCCATTTCTAACATGGAGCTTTAACCCTTGCACTTGGGAAACTTGCCAGAGAAGGGTTTTGATTCAAGAAAGCAGCCTGTCAGCTCAGCAGCCTGTCAGCCCACCTCCTCATGATCCGGGGGCCTGAAAATGAGACACCCCCCTTGCCACTCTTCCAAACTTATTTCCCCATCAGCGAGTCTGGGATTCTGGTTGTTCACAAATGGCTTTCAAAATAAGCAGGTGTCCTGGCTCAGGCTGCCATAACAAAATACTGGAAACAGGGCAGCATAAATGACAGACATGTATTTCTCACAGTTCTGGAGTCTGACATATCCAAGCTCAAGGTGCCAACTGATGTGGTTCCTTTTAAGGACTCTCTTCCTGACTTGCAGATGGCCTTCTCCTTGCTGTGTCCTCACATGGCAGAGAGAGGGGGGGTGGGAGAACAGAGGAGGGAGAGAGGGATAGAGGGAGAAGAGGGGAGAGAACTGGACTGGGCTTTCTGATTTCTCTTCTCATAACAACGCTGATCCCTTCATGGGGACCCCACTCTCGTGACCTCATCTAAACTAAATACCTGCCGGGGCGCCTGGGTGGCTCAGTCAGTTAAGCGTCTGACTTTGACTCAGGTCATGATCTCGTGGTTCGTGAGTTTGAGCCCTGCATCAGGCTCTGTGCTGACAGCTCAGAGCCTGGAGCCTGCTTCGGATTCTGTGTCTCCTTCTCTGTCTGCCCCTCCCATACTCATTCTCTGTCTCTCTCTGTCTCAAAAATAAATAAACATTAAAAAAAATTTAAACTAAATACCTGCCAAAGGCCCCCGTCTTCAAATACCATCACACTGGGGGGTAGGGCTTTGACATATGAATATGGGGGGTGGGGTGGGCATAAACATTCAGTCTGTAACAGTAGCCATTCGAAGTGTATGCTTAAGGAGATTTTTGAAGAGTATAAAGCGATTTGCAAGTTTTAAGGCATTTTTATGAGTATTGTTATGTTTTGGCAAGTGTTTAGACTTCTCTCCTGTGCCTTGGTTTCTAAGGAAACCAAATACTTTCTGAGCAGTGTTCAGAACGATGAAACCCTGGTGCCGTTTGAACTTTCAGAAGTGAAATAGCAAATGTGCGGAGCATTGAGGCTGTGACAGTACATGCCATAGCTGGACCTTACCCTTCAACTCTGATGCTTCCATTCTTACTGCATGGCTGCCCTATCAGGGTACAAGTATTTGATTCAATAGCCTCTGTTAATACCTTACTTATCACATTGGAGAAAAGAGGACTTTGAGAGAATGGGAAGCAGGAAAGATCAGTTTTGAAGGAGGGAATCTGGTAAAGGTGGGTCATAGGGTAACAAGGGCGGGAGGCAGGGGTAGAGGAAGGGGTGCGCATTCTTGCCTGAGGTCTTCTGGTAGCCTGCAGAGCAGAGGGTGTGAGCAGAACCAGTGGTAAGAAAGCACTGGAACACTCAGAAGGGGAGCCATTATTGGAAGGTGGGCCAATGGTGGAGAATGAGGAGGGGCACGATCAAAACAGACCTTTCCTTCTTCACAGCTGCTGCTGCCTTGATTGGTACCTGTGGTTCATGGTAGGTGGCACATAGTGGGCACCCAGTAAATCTTAAATGAATGCTCGAACAGATCATCACCTGAAGTGAATGCCTCCAGGTGAATGTGCACAGGTTCCCCCTTGCCCTGGCAGCTGGGCGTCTTCCAGAGTACATCCTCAAGGTCTCCAGAGTTCTTCCACTGAAACTCATTGCATGAAGGGTCTAGAAACACGAAGACTGGGGAGGGCTTGATGTATAGCTGCCAAGAGGGGATGTCTTGGGATTTTGGTTTCCTTAAGGATGCACCATTTGGACAACCCGGTCATCAAAAGGTAATTTCTCCCCTGATGTTTCCATTTCTTTTCACTCTTTGAATTGCTTCTTATTTCTCCTGAGCATCTTTCCTTTTCTTATTTCGATTGCTGTTTGCTTTGGAAACGAGACATTATTCAAGCACAACATCGCTTAGAATGACTCTAGGTAATGGGAGAGACTCGAACACCTAGGCCTTTTATAGCTATAATTGGTTTTCTTTGTTGGCTTTTTAAGAGGAAGGTTTTGATGGATCAGATATTGCACATTAATTGTCGTGAATTGCAGAAAATGAATCCTAGCTTCATGTGTTTGTGTATGTGTGGGTGTGTTACTGCTAGGGCATGGCTTATACTACATCTCTTAAAGCTGAAAGAGTGGTTTGTGAAACTGTTTTATGAGTTTAATATTTCAAATAAGTCTTCATTTTGTTTTTGGAAATTCTGTTTCTTTTTATAAAAGAGAATAGTATTAATATATCTCTTGAAGCTAATATTCAAGATGGCGTAATTATCTGAAAGAAGCACTGTTTTTCTTAGAGAAGTATATGTTCTAAGAATTTGAAGGCTAAAGTGTTCAATTGTTCCTATTCAGAATTGCACGATTCTGTCACTTTGTTAAACCCAGAGCAGCATTAGCTATCAGAGCTGAAGGGGGCTATAAGGGTTGCCCTCCAGGGCATTTTGACTTTTGACAACCTAGGCAATAAATAATAAACACGAAGAAAATGTTAAGTGCAATGTGAAACTCAAAGCAAATTAAAATTAAATATTGTCACCAAAAAAACCAGTGCAGATGATGTAATGGGGTGTCATTCTTCTTTCTTTTTTTTGTAAATGACAATTAGCTTAGTGTTGGATATGGTTGACTAAGTTAACCCCCTTATTTTACAGATAAAAAGACTGAGGTCCAAAGATTCAAGGAATGCCTATGCCTTCAGCATATTAGGGGCGGAACTTGGTCAAGAGCCCAAACATCCTGTTGGCTGTTTACTGCTTTGCCCACAACACTGCCCCCATACCCCCTATTCTTCCAGACCTTTAAGGATATTCTCTTATGCAAAGGAGGCATCCTATCCATCATCCCCCTATATCTGATGATGCCAATATTCTAGAAAGTTATTCTGACTTTACATTGTCATAGCAGGATGGATGCAAAGACCAGAAGACTTCTCAGGCCGGGCTAGTCCATGGGTCCTGGTTTATTTTTATTCTCTTTATTTCATTCTGGATGCTTATACCATCGTGAAATAGAAACACTTCCCTGGTATGGCTTCTGGGGCATAGATGGGGCAAAACCTAAATCTGAAAATGAATATTTTTGGAAGCCAATTTGGTTCTTCTGTCATATTGACATCTCTTAATGATGGCTTTCCCTGAACAATTCAACAGGTCCTCTCAAACTTCTTATTCCTTTTTTTTTTTTTTTAAACAACAACAGCGTATCCGGTGGAGAGCTGTTTGATCGGATAGTGGAGAAAGGATTTTACACAGAGAAAGATGCCAGCACCCTCATCCGCCAGGTCTTGGATGCTGTCTACTATCTCCATAGAATGGGCATTGTCCACAGGGACCTCAAGGTAAGGCGGTCGCCTAGTAACATCCTCCAGCAGCTCTTCTACCCACAGTACACCTGTCCAAGGGGATTGGCTCCAGAAGATGGCTGAGGTTGCCTTGATGGAGATGTGGGTGGAATGAATGGGAGGCATTTGTGTTGTTAGTTGTCAAGGCCATTGGGAGCCAGAGGTAGCTTGAAAGATGATGAGGGGCTGGCCACCATTTGGGAGATTTTATAACTGCTATGCAGCCAAAGGGCCACAGGGAGATAGGTTGTGTATTGCTTCAAGCCCACCTGAAGGGTAATTTTGTTCAAGACACAGAGGCCATGATAACCCTTCTCCCAATACTATTTTTCACAGTGTTCTCCCAGTTCTGGCCCCATTTCAGCACAGTACACTGTGTGAAAGAAAGGGAGCAAGTAAGTGGAGGGCATAACACGAGAAAGGAAATGGAAGGTTATTGGGAAAGATGGGTTAAACGACCTACAATCACAGCCATCCCCCAGCGTCCTGTAGGTCACAGGCTTACCTGTTCTTTTTTTTTTTTTTTTTTTTTTGTATAAAAGATTGTTTTAACGTTTATTTATTTTAGAGAGAGGTAGAACAGAGGAGGGGCAGAGAGTGGGGAGGGAACAGAGGATCTGAAGTGGCCTCTATGCTGATAGCAGCAGAGAGAGTTCGGCGCGGCCTCACAACTGGGGAGATCATGACCTGGTTTTGGGGTTGATGCTTAACCCACCGAGCCACCCAGGCGCCCCAGTCTTACTTGTCCTTGATGAGGTGTTGGCATACTGACCCTTCACCCAATAGCACTGAAGGACCTGGGCCTTACTTGGGCATCTTGGCATCACATCCCTCCCCGGATCAGTATAGATACCAAAGGGCAGATATCCAACATATGCTATCAAGAGTAGATATCGAACACATTGATTTGAAGAACAGCAAAAGGCAACATTGTTCACCAAGGCTGTAATGTGGCTTCATGCGACAGCGGACACAGGTCCAGGCCCCAGGGCTCCCTGCACCTGTCAAGATAGAAACTCCACCCCAGCCCACATACCTGCTGCTCACATCAAAAACACAGGGATTATAATGTACTGAAGCCATGCTATGCGTGACTGTGTGAAATCTAAATCAATTTAAAGAACAAACCATAAACATTTGTTAAAACAGAATTTCGGCATCTGCCCGTTATCTAGTACTGGGTGTGAAGGTATAACATGGTGTAGCTTTTCTCTTCATAAGGTCTCACTGTGAAGTTTTGTCTTCTCTATATTATTTTCCAGCAACCAGAATAGTGGCTCCCAAATGTTAGCCTGCATAAGAATTGTCTGGAGGGCCATTGCTTGCCCCACCCCAGAGGTTCCGATTCTATAGGTCTGCAGTGGGCCTGGGAATGTGCATTTCTAAGGGATTTCTGGGTGATCCTGATGTTGCCCTGGGATTACTCGTGGAGAACTTCCGGACAAGGGTGTTTGTGAATGTCGATGGGGTCCTTACAGACTTTGCCCTTTGCAGGCTTCTTGATGGCTGAAATGGCTGTGGGCACAAATTAGCTAATCTTCAGGACCCGGAGGTCCTTTCCCAGGCTAAGTAAGGGCTCACTAAGCCCACTTGGCGCCTCTGTGCCTGCTCTGCTCTCCTGTGCCCTCACCAAATGCCGATTCTCTGCTTCCAGAACACAGGAGGCAGGTCTCTGAACAAGTTAGTGCGATGACCACAGAGGTGTGATGCGATGCGCTGGCTGTGTGTACTTGATAGAAATAATTCCCATGCAGATGACATTCCTAGAGGGGCCATGTTATGCGTGACTGTGTTTATTCCCCCTTCGAAAGGCAGATGGGCTGTGCAGGAGTTATAGCTGTCTACGCCCACATGGAGCTTTCAGAGAAGTGCTTGTAGCTCCCAGCTGGTGCAGCTGTGAGAACGCCAGGCTTGTCCCCGCAGAGAGAACATTGCCATGTTAGGACTGTTCGTCATTGCTTTTCAGAGGCACAAGGGAGTTTGACCTACGTGGCAGGAGTTGGGGTTGGGATAGTAAATTTTCACAAATATCTTAGAAAATGAAAACAAACTGTATGATCCAGGTCAGAGCAATAGAGAACATGATCAGACTAATATAAGATTAGGTCGCAGTCTGGGATACCGCCATGCCCCTGCAAATACACCTCCACCTCCCTCCAGCAAGGTACTCTTGTGTCATCTTGCCCCAGGAAGCTACTAGAGATAATGAGAGACGGACAGGAAGTGCCCACTAACTGACCCCTCAGATTAGGACAGGGCTTCTCAGCCCCTGCAGTGTGTCCTTTGCCGCGGGGGGGCTGTTCTATGCATTGTTGGATGTGTAGCCGCATCCCTGACTGCTACCCACTAGATGCCCATAGACTCCTGCAGTTGTGACAACCAAAGACATTGCCAAATGTCCCCCTGGGATGCCAAATTGCCCCCAGTTGAGAATCACTGGATTAGGAGGGTGATTATGTATAATATAAACTTTATAGGAAGTGTTGATTCAGATCTTTTAAAAGCCTGTTGGGGCACCTGGGTGGCTCAGTTGGTTAAGCGTCCAACTTCGGCTTAGGTCATGATCTCACAGTTCTGGAGATTGAGCCCCACCCATGTCAGGCTCTGTGCTGACAGCTCAGAACCTGGAGCCTGGTTCAGATTCTGTGTTCCTCTCTCTCTCTGCTCCATCCCCGCTTGCACTCTGTCTCTCTCAAAAATGAATAAACATTAAAAAAAATTTTTTTTAATTAAAGATTGTTATGTGAACTTTTAAAAAAGTTTATTTATTTATTTTTTTTTAAATTTTTTTTCAACGTTTTTATTTATTTATGGGACAGAGACAGAGCATGAACAGGGGAGGGGCAGAGAGAGAGGGAGACACAGAATCGGAAACAGGCTCCAGGCTCCGAGCCATCAGCCCAGAGCCTGACGCGGGGCTCGAACTCAACGGACCGTGAGATCGTGACCTGGCTGAAGTCGGACGCTTAACCGACTGCGCCACCCAGGCGCCCCAAAAGTTTATTTATTTTAAGAGAGAGAGAGAGCGCAGCAAGGGAGGGTCAGAGAGAGAGGAAGGGAGAGAGAGAATCCCAAGCAGGCTATGCACTGTCAGCATGGAGTCTGATGTGGAGCTTGAACTTATGAACCTTGAGATCATGACCTGACACAAAACCAAGAGTCAGATACTTAACCAACTGAGTCGCCCAGGTGCCCCTCTTATTATGCGAACTGTTAACGGGTTGGTATTGACCTCCCAATTCCAGTATTGTCCATCAGTTGTCTTGCAACGATGTCACAAAATAAAGAATAATATTTTTCAGGTGCGTCCTGGGCCTCTTGGGACCTCAGGCAGAATTGTGAGATGCCCTCTGTGCCTCCCACCTGACCGAGCACTCCTACTGCCAGCTGGGGGCCTCCATCTGGATTGCCCTTGAGCCTGTCTTCTCTCCCACTTTCCTGTTGCCTGACTCCCCTCAAGAAAAGCCCTGCTGCCTTGACTGAGTCTTGAGATGGTTGTAGACAAGTATCTATCTAAGTTGTGAATGACCAGCCGATTTAACCCTCCTTGGTAGTTGACCCAAAGGAGGGATATTTGATTCCATGCAGTCTCTTGCCTAGATGCAACCTTGTTTAAGAGCATGAGATCATTGGGACAGGAAGATTAAAAGTCAGAAACTTAAGGAGCGTCTGGGTGGCCCAGTTAGCTAAGCATCCGATTCTTGATTTGGGTTCGGGTCATGATCTCATGGTTCATGAGAGGAGTCCCATGCTGACATTGTGGAGGCTGCTTGGGTTCTCTCTCTCCCTTTCTCTCTACCCCACCTCCCACTCACATGCACATGCACACACGTGTGTGTGCTCTTCCTCTCTCAAGATAAATAAACTTGAAAAAAAAATCAGAAACTTAAGAAAAGTCCTCTCTGCCCCCATGATCAGATCCTTACTGTTCATCAAAGGATGATCTCAACATTCAGACAAATCATGAACCACAGGCACCTTTTGATTAGATTATTTTGGCCTGCTTTTTAAGCATTATTCTTATTTTGATTATTGATTGGGCCATTTTATTCTCTTTTCAAACTCATTAAAGCACCTTCAAGTGTGCATTTGATTTTCTTCTAATCTCATGCTTCATCCACAGGATCGACGTCACTGTGAATATAAAGTGTCATTCCTTTTTGTGTTATGATTTTAGGAGAAGGGTAGTATTTTTTTTTTCTTTTGGGTTCTGTTAAAGTTATTTTGACACTTGTTAAGACAAGACTTTATTTAAGACTACTGCAAGAAGGGTATCACAATAGGGGAGAGAATTGGGTTCAACTCCAAAATCATCAAGGGCATGTGAGGACTTATAGCCATTGACCAGAATGAGGGTTGTGGATAGAAACCTACTAAGAGGGGATATCAAGGATGGAGGGATCCTTCCTAAAGCCTGGCCAAGAACTTAGACATTGGCAGTCTCTCTCCATTGACCAGGTTCTCTTCCTTCTGACCAGGTTCCATCCCTGGGCTCTGTCCTTAGTGCACTGGCTCTGCCCATGTAGTCCAGGCTGACCAAGAATCCTACTGAGCCAGGGCACCTGGGTGGCTCAGTGGGTTGAGCATCTGACTTCAGCTCAGGTCATGATCTCTCAGTTAGTGAGTTCAAGCCCCATATTGGGCTAACTGCCGTCAGCACAGAGCCCACTTCACATCTTCTGTCTCTGCTCTCTGCCTGTCCCTGCTTGCGCTTTCTCAAAAATAAACAAATATTAAAAAAAAAAAAAGAATCCCACTGAGCCACTTTGGTGAACATCCCCCACCCTTGATATCTGATCAAATTCTTTATCTTCCACCTTTCATATCTGCCCACCCTGGCCTGCCTTCAGCAAGGATCCTCTGAAATTGGCATAGCCAGGATCCCCCCACCCTTGACGTTCCCTCTTAGTAATTTTCTTTTTTTTTTTAATTTTTGTAAAATGTTTATTTTATTTTTAAGAGAGACCGAGTATGAGTGGGAGAGGGGCAGAGAGAGAGAGGGAGACACAGGATCTGAAGCAGGCTCCAGACTCTGAGCTGTCAGCACAGGGCTTGAACTCCCAAACCGTGAGATCATGACCTGAGCTGAAGTTGGCACTTAACCCACTGAGCCACCCAGGCGCCCCACCTCTTAGTAATTTTCTGTTCACTGACCCTCACCCTGATCCTGGGCTATAAATCTCCACTTTTCCTTGTTGTATTAGGTCTTGAGTCCACTCTTCCTCTCCTACTGCAGAATCCCATTGCAGTGGTCCCCCCTCCCCCCGAATAAAGTCTTCCTTACTGTCTTTACCAAGTGTGTGAATACATTTTCTTTAACAACATCCAAGGTGGAAGGTAAAGAGCTTGGCCAGATATCAAGAGTGAGGGGTTCTCTCTATTCTGACTTACAGGTTTCTTGCTAAGACTGGACTCTGCAGCCCCAGCAAGACAGGAGGGACACAGAAGGCCAAAACCGAGGCCTAGAAGAGGGCTCAGGGGAGCCCGACTATAGTTTGGTCAAGGCGGGGCAGGGGGATGGGTCTTGAACACTTCTCAGAATGTCCTCACAGAAATGGCTACAGCTCAGAATTGCCCCGTGAATTCTAAAATCCAGAAGTTCCAGGCCCATCTCAAATCTAAATAGCCCTCGCCACCAGATGAGAGAATGAGAGAAGAGTTGGTAAAATTCAATAACTCAGAAACCAAAGATCTACCACAAACCACTGACAAGAGACACTCTTGCTTCAATCACTCTTGGGGATGGGAGGAGAGCCAGACAGGAAACTGTGGGGAAGTGGCTTGCCCAGTTCAGATTCCTCCTGGTGTGTTATGTGTGTGTATGTGTGTATTTATTTATTTATTTATTTTGGGGGACAGAGAGAGAGAGAGTGAGTGAGTGGGGAAGGGGCAGAGAGAGACAGAGATAGAATCCCAAACAGACCCCACTGTCAGCACAGAGCCCCATGCAGGACTCCATCCCACTGACCCCGAGATCATGACCTGAGCCGAAATCAAGAGTTAGATGCTTAACCAACTGAGCCACCCCCAAGGTGCCCCCTGTTGTGTTTCTTTTAAGGTTGAACGTAAATCAGAGAAGTGATTGCTTCTTCACTGGGCAAATCTTTGGAATTTCCTGAGTCGGGGGAAAGGAGTGGTGTCCGTCCTCAACATTGTGTCTCTCAGGGACAGCATCGTTAATTGAGGCAGGCTTTCTGTGGTCAGGCTCTGCCTGGGCAGGACAGGTGCAGCCCTGAGGCTGGGACATCTCCCTTGGTCTCCACGAGCTCCACCCCCCCCTTTTTTTTCCTAAGAATGATACCTTGACTTTTCATAAAACACTATGCAAATAAAGCTTCATTGTCTCCCCGCTCCACGCTCCACCTGTCTGCCTCCCCTTACCCCTCCTGTATAGCTGCCATGGAGGTGCCCCTGCTGTGCAGGACTGTAGCAGAGACAGGAGCTGTGGTCAGGCCTCAGCCATGTGTCCTGAGTTACTACCATCTGGGCTCCAGCATTCCCCATTCCATCCAGCTCCAGCTTCCCCATTCAGGGAAGCAAACGAGGAACCACCACGACCCATGTTTTCCCGAAAAGGCAACCAGAAGCTCAGGGCACTTAAGGACACGTGGCTACAAAGTGCTGGATCTCTGGACACGATTCATCCATGATGACATCCCTCTGTTTCCCAGGGAGCCCAGCGAGCAGGGGTCAGCTGGCTCAGTAAAGGGGAAAACGCAACGCATCTGCCAGAGCCGCAGGACACGGGCCGTTATGGAGGGCAGGGAGAGAGACCCTGGGTTCGAGAAAGGTTGCTAAAGGGGTCAGGAAAAAGGAATGGGGCAGGGGTGGGGGACGCCTGGGTGGCTCAGTTGGTGAAGCATCCAACTTCTGCTCAGGTCATGATCTCAGGGTTCATGAGTTCAAGCCCCACATTGGACTCTGTGCTGACAGCTCGGAGCCTGGAGCCTGCTTCAGATTCTGTGTCTCCCTCTCTCTCTGTCCCTCCCCCACTGGCGCTCTGTCTCTGTCTCTGTCTCTCTCAGAAATAAACGTTAAAAAAAGAAAGAAAGAACAAGGAAATGGAAGAGCACCTACAGAAGTGACTTCATTTCTGGGAACTCCCTTTCCCCTGACCCAGGAAATAAATTGACAAGTCTTAGGGGCTCTCTAGGCGGCCCCAATTTATGGTTCAGTTTTTGAAAGTAGACAAAGGGACTCACTTTTCTTGAAAACCTCTAAGCTCCCCAAACTGTGCAGTGTCCCCTTCATCACTCCTATTAAACACGGCTTTTCTTACTGCATTCGCTGTGTCCCGAGTCAAGCGTATCCTTAAATTGTGATTAGGCTTTGTGGCTTCGTGACTCTCCCACAATTAACCCATATTTAAACACACTTTGTCAGTGTTTTTTTTTCTTTTTTTCTTTCTAGCCTGAAAACCTCTTGTACTACAGTCAAGACGAGGAATCGAAAATAATGATCAGTGACTTTGGACTGTCAAAAATGGAGGGCAAAGGAGATGTGATGTCCACAGCCTGTGGCACCCCGGGCTATGTTGGTAAGCACAGCGTGGGTGTCGTATCAGCTTCTTTGGTCTTAAGCACTTCAGCCCTGGCGCATGATCGCAGCTGCCTTCATTCCCCTTAAGGGGAGAATAAAAAGGCCAAGAGACATTGGAACGAGTTAGAAGAGAGGCGATTTCCCCTGAAACCTTTTAATAGTCGGGCAGAAATCCTGTCTCATTGGGGTGTGGGCCTGGGTGGAAGCCAGGAGTTGATTGGATGAATTCCCACGTTCTGATGCCAGAAATAGTGCCTCCATATCTGTGTTTTCAAATGATTTACAGTGAGACACTGAGATAACCATGAAGTGCAGACACAAACAGAACATGTAAAATGTTGAGATAGAAGCGGCCAGAAAGAGAGTATCGATAGGAGGAATCTGGTTCATGCCTTGTCGAAGTCACTCTCTTGAAGTAGCCAGTCCTGATCTGTACTGGAGAAGCCAAGAATTAAAGTCTTTCCTAAAATCAGAACCCCAGGGCCCTCGTACCAAACATACAGAGAGCAGAAAATGCTACAAGAACTGAACACTCGCATACTGAGAATCATCTTGTGTCTTCTGGGGACCTGGAGAAAGGCCATCGGTGCCGTTTGTGTTTTCGAGACGTTGACTTACATGAATGTATTCATTCACTCAGCAAATGTGTACTGAAGCGCATGCTATGGACCAGCTGCTGTTATGGGCACTGGGGTGAAGGCTGTGCATGAGTCAGACAGCAGGCCTGCCCTCATGAAGCTTATGTTGTAGTCGGGAGTCACAGACAACAGACAAAGAACAGGGTTGTTTCAGGCCACGGTAAGTGCTATGGAGAAACTCAAATGAGGACATGCCACAGAGCAGCAAGGTGATGGCGGGGCGGGGGACTAGGACGGTTAAGGGCACAGGAATGAGACCTGGGTATTGGCTTGAATGTGGAGAAGCAGACAGCCTTGGGAATGTTAGGGGACAGAGTGTTCCAGGCAGAAGCATCCATTTGTGCTAAAGCTCTCAAGTGGGAAAATCCTGGGAAAAGGGTATAAAACGGGAATGTCTGAGGGCAGGAAAAAAATGGGGTTGGAAAAGACTTCTGGAAAACAGAGACCGAGGCTGAATTCTCAATGTACAAACCATGATGGCTTTTCCTAATGAGAACAGGAAGCTCGCCCTGAAAGAGGAGAGGGAATGTTCTGTGACTGGCATCATTCCTGTTTGGTATTAGGTGCAACCGCGTGATCCCCCCAGGCAGGCTGAGGAAAGCAGTCCTCCCACCTGATGAGCCTGGGCCCCAGAGCATTGTGGGAAACTCCAAACGCCCTTTGGGGCCCTTCCTGGCCCTTCAGGTGCTGGCATAACACGGGTGTTATGTCGCAGCCGGTTCATTTGCAAAGGTGCTCAAAGGAGAAGGGAGAAGAGCAGGCTGAGGGGAACGGAGAATAACAGGAAGGGAAGCCATGGACTCGGGGGCGGGGGCCGGGGGAGGAGGTAGCCATGGTGTGACCGGCACAGGCGGGGATCATGTCCCTGGCGGGTGTGTGCGCTGGGCAGAGCCGGGGAGGTTCTTCTGATGGCAGAGGAGCCGGTGTGGCACAGGCTTTGATGAGATTAGCAGTACCCTGAGTGCTCTCGGCTCTGGGCCAGCGGAGTGGACCCCGTCGGGGGGACTCGGAATCACGGCCGTGGTGGGAGATGCACGCGAGAGCGCACGTGTGTGCCCCAGGGGCGTGGGGGTGTGACGGGAGCAGGAGCGTGTGCGGCAGGTATGTGGACTCTCTCCGGGTCAGTCCCGGCCGCCAGGCGGGTGGCAGATAAAAGTGAAGATGTGCTTCTTCTCGTTTGTCCTCAAAGATGGGGAGGGAGAAGGCCCGTTCCAACAGTGGCAATTCCCAGACCCCAGAAAATGAAAAGGCCTGTGAGGGCGCGCTGTCCACGCTCCTTGCCGGGATGGCTTTGCCACCTTCTGTGCGGTCCGCTGCCCTGGCCACTGCGGCCGAGAAGCTGAGGGCTCTGTGGCCGCCCCGCTTCCCCCCTGCAGGAGGCCGACTCTCGGGCTGCAGTTCAAATGTTCCGGCAGAAGTGTCCGTATTTACATATGCATCGCACTGTTCTCATATTTGGCTCTGATGTTGGAAAGCTCCAGCACTTTCTAAATGGATTTTTGCTTCTTTGCGTCTTGGCAGAACCCAGGAATGGCACTTTCTCTGGGTTTCTAAGTGGCTGTCATTCGAGTGGTCTGGTTCTGCTTAGATGTCAGACACTGACGAGTCTTGGAACTGGGAAGCATGTTTAGATGTGGCCCTTGCTCTTTCTACCCTAAATGGTGGCCAGTGGGGCCATCAGGTAACGCTGTTGTCAGATACGGAGTTTTCTCTGAGTGGGGAGGGGTGCGAATGTAGTGGTTCTGCTCATTCATGTGTGTTGAGCACTGAGCTGCCTAGGAAGGCCTCTTAGAGCAAGGAAGGGGCGACACTGGGGGAGCTTATGACCTGTAGACGTACCTCGGGCAGTGAGCAACAGAGATCGGGCTGTTTCCTCCCCTGCCCCCTCAGTCTGCATGGCCAACTCCTGATATTCAGCCATCAAAGCCCAACTTACATGTTGCCCCCTTTTGGTTGCTTTCCCAACACCCATTCTCTCTTTTGTCATCCTACTTCTTTTCCTGACCCTTTTTACATCATTGCATCGGGGTCCCTTTCCCACCGCACCACACGTTTTTCTCGGGCAGGGACTATCTTACTCATCTTTGCACAGATGCTTGTTAAACTGGTAAAAACCCAAGGTTTGCAGAAATTAGCATTTCTCTCTGTCTCCTCTTTTCCCATTCATTCAGCATGCATTTATTAAGTTTATGTGCTGTGCTCAGTGGTTTGGTGTTAAGAATATGAATGTGTAGGGCCAGAGTTTCAGACTTTAAAATGCTCACAGTGTTGTGAGAAAAAGAGGGAAAAACCAGTAAATTGAATAATGTCTGGTAAGTGCTACGTTATTCATCATTCAAGGATTATGTATTTAGTGCCTACCTGCTGTTCTAGAGACTGGGGATGCATCAGTAGAAAGGAAAAGAAACACAGGGGGCACCTGGGTGGCCTGGTCAGTTGAGCTTCTGACTTCAGGTCAGGTCGTGATCTCGTGGTCCATGAGTTCGAGCCCCACATTGGGCACAGAGCCCATTTCGGATCCTCTGTCTCCCTCTTTCTGCCACTCCCCTGCTCATGCTCTTTCTCCCTCAAAAATAAATAAAACATTAAAAAAACAAGAAAAGAAAAACAGATAAAAGTCCCTGCCCTCAATCAAGGTACTTATATTTGAGCGAGAAGGAGACAGACTGTATGCAAACAGCTAAGTCTGTTAATATCTTAGGTTGACAAGTGCTATGAAGAAAAATAAAGCAGGAAAGAGAATAGTTGTGTGTGTGTGTGTGTGTGTGTGTGTGTGTGTGTGTGTGTAGGGGGTGGCAATTTTAAATGTAGTAATCAAGGCAGCCCTCACTGAGAGGGTGACAGTGGGGTCAAGGTTTGATAGAAGTGAAGGAGCTGGCCATGTTATTATTTGGAGGAAAAGCGTTCCAAGGATGGTGCAAAGGCCCTGAGGCAGGGGTATGTGGGAGAACAACAGGAGTGGGGTGAACAAAGAGAAGAGCAGTAGAAGATGAAGTCAGAGAACTAATAGGCAGAGCATGTGCAGACCAGGACTTAGAAGTCATTGTCAAGACCCTGACTTTTACTCACGGTGGTGGGGAGCCATTGGAGGGTTCTGAGACAAGGCATGGCATGATCTGACCTGTACCAGGATCCCTCTAGGAGACAGGTGGGGATTAGGAGAGATGCCAGGGTGCAGGGCCAGGGTGGAAGAAGGGAGACCAGTTAGAAGGCTCTGGAATTATTCAAGTGAGAAATGGTGGGAGCTGGGCTAGGTTGGCAGAGTGGAAGTGGTAAGAAAGTATCAGATTCCAGAAAAAAATTTGAAGGTAATTTCATGAAGATTTTCTGAAAAATTAAAAGTAGGGCTTGAGAGAGAGAAGCCAATGATAGTTCTAAGTTACTTTTTGGCCTGAGCCTCTGAAAGGAGGCTGTTACCTTTACTTTAGATGTCAAAGTCTGTGGAAAGAGCAGGCTACAGAAGTATCACCAGGGGTTCGGATTTTAATTTGTTAAAGTTTGCAAGGTCCAGAAGGCGGTTGGACTGTAAGTCTGGAGTTCTCTCAAGAGGTCCTGTCTGCAACAAGATATAGTTGATTCTCATCACACGTAGTAGTTATGCTCTGTAACGTCACCACCAGCGCTGAACTAGTAAATACTGACCTACTGTTACCCGGGAAATAGAGGTTTAGGGTCCTTGTGAGTCTCTGGTCACAGCATTGTCATCTACTGATGGATACATGACCTTGTTTTATACGTATTTCTATTTAACGACATCTTATTTAACATATATTATTTTTTTAATGTTGATTTTATTTTTGAGAGAGAGACCGAGCATGAGCAGAGGAGGGGCCGAGAGAGAGGGAGACACAGCATCCAAAGCAGGCTCCAGGCTCCGAGCCATCAGCACAGAGCCCGATGCAGGGCTTAAACTCACGAACTGCGAGATCATGACCTGAGCTGGAGTCAGATGCTTAAGTGACTGAGCCACCCAGGCGCCCCTAATATATATTCTTGATTCGTGAACGATGAACTCATGGCTAACAGCACCATAACTTACACCTAAGTGAAGCTGGTCTAGCCACACATTTTCTCTGTAGGCACATTTCCACTTTCTTGTGCCAGGAACACTAGACGGCACTTCATCGCTGCACTTGGGGGCTGTTTTAAACCATGAATCTACAAAATGCACAAAACTGTAAAAAACATGACAGCAGCTAGACCATGAAAATGATACTTGTTTGTAGTGTGAGAGCCGAAACAGGAGGGCAGAGTGTCACCTTGTCTGACCTCTAAGCAGGGAACGTGAGCTTTGGAAACTCAGTTTGAGCCTCTCTGCTCATGTCCACACGTGACCACAAAAGCACGGCAAGTATTGATT